ACAGACTCACAAAAACACAACGAACCTACACTTCGGAGAAAAATATTTCGGTAACGCCTCTCTTAATCTGTTGGGGGGTCACCGCAGGGAGAAGCCCCGGGGCCAGGACCCGTCTTGGCGAACCTACCATTCCTGTAGACTTTATGCTGTGAGCGATTTGTGAATTGCTGGAGCCTAGGCATTATGACCCCCGTTTCCTTTACAAACCAAAACCTTGCAGAGATGATGATGATGAAATAATAATAATAAAATAATAATAATAAATCTTCATTTCTACAAACACATGTGCAATGTATACAGTCCTAGCTGACATCAATGACATACTACATAGAAAGCCCCATATTATGCAGAGAATTTCGGGCAAAATTAGGTCAATTTTGTCCCCAGGATAAGACCCACACCATTCCCGACAAAACACCCGGGGACCGTTTTAACACTAAGCTAACAGGGAAGGCAGGTGTCTCAAAGGAAACACTCCCACTGTTTCCACCCGTACCGGGGATCGAACCACGAGTACTCTGTATGTGTGCGGTGAGTGCGAAAATTTATATAAAATATATATATATATATAATAAAATAATATTCCCCACCAGCGCACACACAGGTACGAGCGTTATACTGGAAAGGGTGACACATCTGCGATATGGGGGGATGTACTCATCCTTGATCCGAGGAAAATAATGATCGATACAGTTTCTTAGATCAAGCACCAATAAAGAAGTAAGTCACAATGCCGTGACTGGAACAATTCGCTCCAAAGAATACAATTAGGACGTTTCGGCCTCTCCAGGGGCATTGTCAAGACACAACATGCGACCTAAACGCTTCTCTCTCTCTCTCCATCTCTCTCCCTTTCTCTTCCTTTTCTCAGTCCTAATCTTCTATATCTGTGGAAATAAACTTGGGAATAATATGCGGAATCAATAATCCAATGGTAAGGATGGCACCAGTATCACTCTGGGTGCCACATTGGCTCTCACTCCTCGTAAAGCCTCTTATCGGCTCATGGCTCCTCGTGACCCTTAGTGACAATGGTATGAGATGGTGGAGGTGTTGCCTGTGTGTGTGTGTGTGTGTGTGTGTGTGTATGTGTGTATGTGTGTGTTGTGTGTGTTTTGGTGTGTGTGTGTGTGTATGTTGTATTGAGTGTACTCACCTATTTGTGGTTGCATGTGTGTTTATGTGTTTATGTGTTCGTGTTTTAGTTAGTTACCAGTTGTAAAATCCTCTTGTCGATAGATACTTAGCCTGTTATGTGGTGTTTGTGTGTGTTTTCTGAGGATAAGGACAATTTAACTCAAGGGGTATTCCACTGTGAATGTTCAGAGGAACTCAGCGAATACTTGGGATTAAGGCCAGCCAATAGGAAATTCCCTACATCAGGAGTTCCCTCTGCCGGGAGGAAAGCTTTGCCCTTCCCCAACACATTCTCAAGCATTACCAAGGTCATATTCTCCACTATGGGAGATTCTCACAGAATGTTTTTGGAGGGAGATGCTCACAGAAAGACGAATACTTTCAGCTGAACTTCTCAGCAGAAGCTTCCAGACGGATTATCATTGGTGACCAATGACTGAACTGAGTGCAGGAGTCAAAATTTCTTGTCAGTGGTTCGGTTCCCCACAATCCACGAAAATAGAATCGGAACTTATGAAAGTTAGGTAGTGAAGGGGGGTTGTGGGGGGAGGGAAGAGAATGGGAATGACGTCAATGATTGGGCAGTAAGTGGAGTGTTGGACTGGGCTCAGGCTAGTGGCGGCTGGGGGACGACGATGAGAAACCAGGGAATAGCGATTCTTAACTTGAATATTGTCCAAGTGTGATTAAGATATTGGAGGTCCATTTCGAGCAAGACTCTATCGTAAATCTTAGCACGGGTTTTCTTCGTTATCTCTCTCTCATATACATTCGGTAGACTTAATATGATGCCAGAGAGGTTAGGTTAGGTTAGTTAGGTAAGGTTTGTCAGGAAACAGGACAAATGTTTCCTGACTCGGGTCTTGGACATATGATGACCCGCAGCTGGAGCTTTTGGTAATCTGACCGAGGCTTTCCACTGGCTTTCCCGTCTACCCCTTTAAGAACCACATAATGCGAGGGGTCATATACGCCAACTTAAGCAAAGGAAGTGAATGATCTACGAGACTAAATGGTGTTTATGCTAAATTATCAGATTTTCAACACACAATGTGCAAAACAAGTACTGAAAAAATAGGGAACATCGAAGCGCTTTCGTGATTTCTCACATTTTCATCATATCCTTGGTAATGTGAGAAATCACGAAAGCGCCTGGATGTTAACTATTTTCTCACAATGGTTCTTTTGTATAATATATATAAGTCTGTGTGTGTGTACTCACCTAGTTGTGGTTGCAGGGGTGGAGTCACAGCTCCTGGCCCCGCCTTTTCACTGGCTGTGTGTGCGCGCTCACCTAATTGTAGTTGCAGGGGTCGATTCATAGCTCCTGGCTCCGAGTATGTCTGTGTGTTTTACAAATTCAACATAATTGCATAAACAGAGCCTAGTCCCGCAGATCATTTACTTTCCTTGCCTAAGTGACCTGCTACCGAAAGCGACAAGTGACCATCTCAATCAAACCCTGCCGACAGCTACCCGTCTAGCTTAACGTCAGACCTGTATGCAGGGCAGGATAGAGCCCCCCTCTCAAACAAGGTTCAGTAACTACTCTCCCTGTCCAGCGTGCGGAACCAGGTCAACTTTTCAACTGCTTTCTCGTACATAAACCATTAACGCTTAAACTTATTTAGCTCCGTTAATTGAATGTGTTTGTACTGATGCAGTCGCAAAGGATTTCGATTAATAACCGAAGCGTTTGGTTCGCCTTTGTATATCTGCAGGATTCACTATTCTGAATGTTATAATCGAGAACATCTGGCCACCGGCCCACTGTTCCAGCCATTTTTGGTGTGAGACTGCGGGAAAAAAAATAATTAACATGCGAGTCGCAGTTAGCATATCTCGACAGGGAAGCGTACTGGATTTTAGGTAAGGTTTGTCAGGAAACAGGAAAACTAAACAAACCATACCACGGGCGGGGATAGAAACCGCGATCAGTCTCTCAAAACTCCAGACCGTAGCAGTGGTCACAGTGGTGCCTATGCCAACCTTCCTACGGTGTAGAAATATACCTAGTTGGATGAATCTTATTGTGGCTAGCTGGCCCAGTGGCTAATGCGACGGTCTGGAGTTTTGTGACTCTCTGATCGCGGGTTCTATCCGCCTCCGTGGTATCGTTTATTTGCAATCGTGTCATTACGATTTCGTGAATCATGTAAACAGGAAAAGTGTTTACTAACGCGGGTCCTAGTCATATGGTGACCTGCAACTGGAGCTTTTGGTCATCTGACTGAGGCCTTCCACTGGCTTACCCGTCCACCTCATTAAAACTCATGGTTATTATTATGAATTTATTAGCGAACTGGAGTTTGGCAAACACCAAGTGAACGATCTAACCCCTGGAGCCCCAGTGAGGCCACCGATATTGGCATCCCACAAGAGACTGAGACACATGCACTGTAAAGTATGGTAGCAGAAAACGATAAAGTTCCTTGAGTGGGTCACAGAATATCCGGAGAAAAGAAGGGTTATCCTCATCAAGAAGACAAGAGGTTATAGCTACTAGCTGAGCAAGAAGAGTTACCGAAAGGACGTTTGAACAAACCACAGAACGGGTTGGGTTTGAACCTAAGGCGAGCGCATAATGACGTTTGAACGTTCGTCTTCACAGAAGTGTGGGAGAAATGGAAAGGAAGAAATAATTATAAATATATAAAAAATGTTAATTATAAAGATAATTTAAACTAATAAACGAACACAAGTGATTTCGTCCAGTATGACTGACAAAGGAATATTTGCATACAAATATACATTCCTTATTTTCAACAATAAGATCATATACCAAGTATATAAATTTTCAGAGGTTGTACATCGATACCATGCCTAACCCTTCTAGGGCAGGGTAGGTGCCTGAGCCCGAGCCTTTAGCTCATAAGACTGTCATTCCCATTTGCCCCCTTGGGGCGGGGATGGCAGACCAGGGAGGCCTAGCTTGTGGCTAGGCCTGGGGACAGTTGGTCCCAAAGATGAGGAGGTCCTTGTGCCTCCTCCCATGGGAGACTTAGGTCTCAGACACTCCCTAAAGAGGGAGCCAAGGCCGGGTCACCACTTGGAAAAGGCCCGGGCCGGGAGAATACCGGCTAATCTTGAATAATAATACTAAAGAGGTTGTATATGTAACTCCTCCCATGGAAGACTTAGGTCTCGAGATACTTCCCAGACAGGGAGCCAAGGCCGGGTCACCACTATTGGAAAAGACCCGGGCCGGGATAGTACCGGCGAATAAAAAAAAAAAGAGGTTTATACAAAGGCATGTGGTACATAATAATGAGAAATATATATAACCGTGATTTTTAAAAAGGTGGACCGGTAAGCCAGTGGAAGGCCTCGGTCAGATGACCAAAATCTCCGGCTGCGGGTCAGGAAACACTTGTCCTGTTTTCTGATAAACATTACTTAGGCTAGAAACATGTGGACTCAACATTTTTGTCATTATACGAAGGTGCGTCGAAATGATTAATCGCATAATCCTGAATAATGACTCTCCAATGGAATTTATCGGATAGTTGTGTCCCCAAGCGTCCTCCTCCAATGTGCTTTATTGTACTTTCGAGAATTTTACTCTGCAAGTCTAGTTTCTTGTAGTTATTGTCAATTTGTGAATGTAATTTTTTTTTCGGTTACTTGGTTCCTGTATGTTTTCTCTCTCACATATACTGTTTTGGTCTCTTATTTTACTTTTTTTTTTTGTTTCTTTCTGCCTTGGGTGTGTATGTTTGCTTTGTTTAGTTTCTCTCTTTGTTATGTGTGTTTCTCTCTGTTATGTGTGTTTCTTTATGTGTGCGTGTTTCTCTCTTTGTCTCCAGTGTTTCTGGAGTCTCTATTGCACACTTTAAAGTGTTTATTTTTCTCCAATCTTTCAGTTAGTCAGTCAATAGCATCAGTTAATCATCAGTCAACAATATCAATCAATCAACAAGTATTCTTTCTTAGATGCTCGGTTGAGCTCAATCATGTTTTTGTCGACGCCGAATGTGATCCAACTCCAATTCTCCCAGACGCTCAGCGACGCTCGATCTGCTTCGCTCATCTCCTTTTTATCTTCGACTTCGAGCGTGATCCAACCGCCAGCAATATCGAACTCCAGATACATCTCCCGCTGGTGGTTTACTCAATGTCGCTGGGCACTCGGTAAAACACAACCAGCTTGTTACACGGTTTATTATATCCATAAATCACTCCAGGAGGAGGGAGGGAGGGGTGTTTCTTCTGTGGTACTGCGGAAGACTAGGAAATGATCAGTTCACTGATTATTTCAGAAGAGGTTGAGACAGTCGATGGTACTACCCGAGTCGATTCAAGGAGAGGTTTGAGGAGACCTGACAAGAGTCAGGTATTGTGAGACTCACAAGCACAATAGTCAGGGCAAGTGAGACCAGCACAAGAGTCAGGTATGGTGATCTGCACCAAGTAGAGTACACTAGTGGGACGTTGCTGAGTCTTTTCCAAGCTTCCTGGTCCTTTCCCAAATTTATTAAGCCTAGGTTTCTTAGCCATCTTAGTCCTCCCTTAGCCATCTGAATGCTTCCCACTATCCCTGATCCTAACCCAACACCTATTACTTCGTTAGTTACAAGAACACATGTACAACTAAAAGAATATTATACTGAGACAACATTTCCCTCTCCACGAGTTTTGTCACGCCAGTACAGGGACACAATGGTAACAAAGCGGAGTGAAAGAGTATAAGTACTGCAGCAATTCTAATGGCCCATGTTACTGGTAGCAGTAGTAGCAGTAGCAACAGTAGAGCACTACAGCAGCAGTAGCAATAGTATAGCAACATTGTCTTTCAACCCTCCGCTTCAACTTTCTCCTCCCTTCAACTTTCTTCTCCCTCAACTTTCTCACCGCCCCCACCTCCAACAAACACTAGACAACCCCTTTCCTTCTCGTTCACTAAGAAGACACAAATGAGAAGTTGTCAGGGCAGGTTGACTTAATTAAAACTGCTTATTCGATAATGCTGAGCTGAGTACATTAACAGAGACCAAAGTGCGTTACACAGCACTGTTGCATTTTATACAAGACTTCTACGTATTATACAATACTGTAGCATGTTATACAATACTGGAGCATGTTATACAATACTGTAGCATGTTATACAATACTGTAGCATGTTATACAATACTGTAGCATGTTATACAATACTGTAGCATGTTATACAGTACTGTAGCATGTTATACTGTACTGTAGCATGTTACACAGTACTGTATCATGTTATACTGTACTGTAGCATGTTACACAGTACTGTAGCATGTTATACTGTACTGTAGCATGTTACACAGTACTGTATCATGTTATACTGTACTGTAGCATGTTACACAGTACTGTATCATGTTATACTCTACTGTAGCATGTTATACTGTACTGTAGCATGTTTTCACAGTACTGTACATGTTATACTGTACGGGAGCATTTACACAGTACTGTATCATGTTATACTGTACTGTAGCATGTTACAACATATTGTATCATGTTATACTGTACTGTAGCATGTTACACAGTACTGTATCATGTTATACTGTACTGTAGCATGTTACACAGTACTGTATCATGTTATACTGTACTGTAGGATGTTACACAGTACTGTATCATGTTATACAGTACTGTAGCATGTTACACAGTACTGTAGCATGTTATCCTGTACTGTATCATGTTATACAGTACTGTAGCATGTTATACAACAGTAGTAAGGACAGGTAATTAACTTCCAGATAATGAATAAAAACACTGAATTTTGTTTGTAGATGAATGGTTCAGAGAACCGACATGTTGATAAATTAGACACATGTGCAACTCTTGGGTATCTTTATTGAGGAAACGTTTCGCCACACAGTGGCTTCATCAGTCCATACAAAGGAGAATCTTGAAGAACAGGAGGAGAATGAGGTAATCAGTCCCTCAACCTTGAGTCGATGTGGTCAGTCCATCAATCTTGAATAGAATACGGCATACGTACGGAGAAGGAGCTTATAAACCGTATGGCAGAGGAGGTGCAGCAGTCATAGGTGGTGTCACATTTGTTCAATGTGGAAGTAGGTCGTGCCCAAGAATTAGGCAAGCGAAGAGATCTTAATACTTGGGAATTCTTCACTTGCCTAATTCTTGGGCACGACCTACTTCCACATTGAACAAATGTGACACCACCTATGACTGCTGCACCTCTCCTGCCATACGGTTTATAAGCTCCTTCTCAGCGCGTATGCCGTATTCTATTCAAGATTGATGGACTGACCACATCGACTCAAGGTTGAGGGACTGATTACCTCATTCTCCTCCTGTTCTTCAAGATTCTCCTTTGTATGGACTGATGAAGCCACTGTGTGGCGAAACGTTTCCTCAATAAAGATACCCAAGAGTTGCACATGTGTCTAATTTATCAACTGATTTTTTTTATGTGAAGGCGAGAGTTCCAGAAATAACTGAAAGTTTCCGGCATGAAGTTGGAATTCTTAGGGTTAGTCCAGTAATATATTTAGTATTTCATTTATTCTTTCTCTTTCTTTCTCATTCTCTCTATTTCTCTTTTCTCTCCAGTCTCAACATTTGTTATCTGAAGTTGAATATCAGTTGAATATATTAATCAGTTTCTAAGACAACAAACTGAAGCAAATTCAGTGTATGAGTGTTTGTTTGTTTGTTTGAGCGCGCGCGCGTGTGTGTGTGTGTGTGTGTGTGTGTGTGTGTGTGTGTGTGTGTGTGTGTGTGTGGTGTGTGTGTGTGTGTGTGTGTGTGTGTGTGTGTGTGTAGACTCGCCTATCTGAGTTACAGGAATTGATTCAAGCAGACAGAAAAATATGACAAGATGACAGGGGTGCACACACAGACACACACACACACACACACACACAGACATACACACACACGCGCACACACACACACACGCGCGCACACACACACACACACACACACACACACACACAAAGATCCACATATATTAATCAGTAAAATATGCTTATGAATTTCCTTCAACAATAAATAAGAGAATAACGAAGAGGGAGGAGAGGGAGAGTAATGAAGCTTAAGAGTGAATTATGAGAGGAAAATAGCATAAACCAAAGAGAGAGAGAGAGAGAGAGAGAGAGAGAGAGAGAGAGAGTGTTTCCCAGGTTAGCAAATATTTGTCCTGTTTCCTGACAAATCTGACCTGATCTGACCTGAGCTGACTCTCCCGCTGTGGGTAATATTATTGTTAATAGTTTATTAGCAATTACATACAGTGTTAATAACTCTTGTGGCTTTAAACCCAATTAACCTACGAACCATTAGTTGTATAGATATACACACCGTGAGGTGTATGTTTCCTGGTATATTTAATATACAGAGCTTTCATTAATACCAATCTTAGGTATTAAAATATTCTTGACTGGTGGTGAACCTCGTGTAGACGATAGGCTTCAAACCTCATCAACAAACTGATACCAAATGATTTTGTAAATATTTTATTGCAAATTTTTTTTTTTAATTTTAAAAGTCACAACGACAGTAAAATAAAAAATGATTTTGTCATTATTTCTGACACTTTCCATAAATTAAAAAAAAAAAGACTGAAAGGCTTAACTTTTAATTTTTTTTTCTAAAATATGATCTAATAGATATTAACTTTCTGCCACCGAGGGTCGTTTATAATTTTTAATATTAATTTGTTAAAAACAGAGAACAGAAATAATTTTTAAAATACGTCAGAAAACATCGTTGTTATTAAATTTGGAGTCATTTTTTTCAGTGTAGAAATGTTTTGCTTGTGTGAAATTGGTAGAACAAGTAGATGAAAGTAGCAGTGACAGATATTTGACAGAGTTGAGGTGGAGGGATTGTTGACGTGTTGAGGTGATGGTTTGTTGATGATTTGTGTTAGTAAAGAATGATGGTAATTAGGGAGAAAAGGTAATTTTTATCTTTCCTGTATCTTCACTTTCTTCATCACTCCTACTTCCTGCCAGTTTTGTCAAGGCTGGGAGCCAAAGTAATAATCATGGTACTAGGGGGAGAGAACACAACTTTGTAGTACCCACAGTCAGTGACCAGGCTTCAAACACCTTTCATTGTACAGCAATAAAGGGATGGAACAGACTGCCTGCACATGTCAAAGCCAGTCATAGCATGAACCACTTCAAGAAGACTGCCAAAAGGTGTCTGATGAATGTAGCTACAGAAAGGGAGGGGGAATGATTTTCTATTTTTTTTTAGCTAACACACATGTAAGTATAAATAAGTAATTTTACCTTATTCCTAGTATATCTCCTTTCTAGTATAATAATAAGATATTATCTCCTTTATAGTATAAAAATGAGGTATTAAAAGGACCCCAATGGAAATAAGTCACTCTGATTTTTCTGGGTTATCCTAGGTTCTCTACATACATGTTGATATGTATGATAATCTGTGTAACTTTATTTGTGTATACCTGAAAAAAACTTACTTTCTCCATCCCTCCCACTTTCTCCATCCCTCCCACTTTCTCCATCCCTCCCACTTTCTCCATCCCTCCCACCTCCTCAATTCATCATCATCCTCTGCACTATTCCAAAATATTCACGACTCTGCATTTTGTGAGGAACGCCATACTGGTGGCCGAGATTAAGTATTGCTGAGAGCATTAATATATTGTAGTGAAGTGTAGTGAAGTGTATTGTAGTGAAGTGTAGTGATGTGAATTGTAGTGTAGTGATGCATATTGTAGTGAAGTGATGGGTATTGTACTGTAGTGATGTATATTGTAGTGAAGTGATGTGTATTGTACTGCAGGGATGTGTATTGTAGTGAAGTGAGGCATATTGTACTGTAGTGATGTGTATTGTACTGCAGGGATGTGTATTGTAGTGAAGTGAGGCATATTGTACTGTAGTGATGTGTATTGTACTGTAGTGATGTA